AATCTGAAACCCAGTATGCTAATGAGGCATCCTACCTTCTATTCTGTGATAGGATGTTAAGTCTGTTATGCTAATAGGATGATGCTAATAAGGTATCCTACTTGCTGTACTGTGATAGGATGCTAAACCTGTTATGCTAATAAGGTGTCCTACTTGCTGTGCTGTGATTGGACCACTACCCCTATATAAGCTTGCGCCTTCCTGCAGTAAACCAGATCTGTGTCACTGAATCTGGTCTCCTATGTCTGAATGCGGCTCCGCTGACACAGTCTCCTCACCAGCCCTGGGGTCTGGACTGAACGACTGATTGGAGGAACTAAGAGAGCAGGAGAGCGGCCATAGCCGGAGGAGAGGAGCCACAGCTGACGACCACAATGATACACCCCAGAAACTCTTTTCCCACCTAAGTCAACAGGCTAGTATATGTGTGGATATTTCTAATACATTTGTGCATTTATTTTTAAACTGTCAATCCTGGTCCATTTCTTTCCTTTTACCAATATAGTTCTGCCCTGATGAAGTTACCTCTTTGGTAAGTTTTAAAGTCATTTAAGGAAAAATTCTCTAATTTTGTTGTTTTATAAATATCTTATTACTAATTCTGATTAATTCATACATGACCTTATTAATTTACAAAGAGTCCATGGAGAATTTAAATCCACAGTGCAATGAAGGGCTAGGTAAACTTTCCTTTTACCAATATAGTTCTGCCCTGATGAAGTTACCTCTTTGGTAAGTTTTAAAGTCATTTAAGGAAAAATTCTCTAATTTTGTTGTTTTATAAATATCTTATTACTAATTCTGATTAATTCATACATGACCTTATTAATTTACAAAGAGTCCATGGAGAATTTAAATCCACAGTGCAATGAAGGGCTAGGTAAATTTTAGGATAATTGACATGTCAGTGATAATAGATTTTCTAGTCGTTGAACAGGGTATATCTCTTTCTATTTATTCAATTCTTGTTTAACTTACCTTTAAAATATTTAGGAAAGAGAATTTATTTTAATACAGAATTTAGTGCTGTTTCTGTGCTAACAATTACCAGTCTATAAAACTAAAATTGATTTGATATTAATTTTCTATCATATCTTACTAAATAAAGATATTTAAAAGTATTTTATTATTTTTATTTTATGTGTATGCATGTATTGCCTGCATGTCGATAAGTGCATCTGTGTCTTGCAATGCCTGCGGAGGACAGAAAAGACTGTCAGATCTCCTGGAACTGGAGTTACGGACAGTTGTTAGCTGCCATGTGGGTGCTGGAAATCAAACCCAGGTCTTCTGCAAGAACAGTGAGAGTTCTTATCTGCTGATCCTGGAGTTACAGACAGTTGTTAGCTGCCATGTGGGTGCTGGAAATAGAACCCAGGTCTTCTGCAAGAACAGTGAGAGTTCTTATCTGCTGATACATTTCTCCAGCCCCTCATTGCAGGTTTTGTAAATGTAAAATGATCAAACTGAAAGATGTTTGCATTCTGTGTTCTGAACCTTTCTCAACTTTGTCACACATGAAATATCATGGAAACTCCAACTAAGAAAAGGCCTTCACACCACACTTTTTTTGAAAAACCTAGCTCGAATTAATTTAATCTGCATCTGAAATTTTTAATATTATTCTAGTATTTTTATTGATATTTTATGCATAAATATTTGCATGAATTTTAAATGGTAAATGTTCTCATCATTTGTTCAAAAATTTTAAACACTGCTACCATGAGTTATGTAGTAGGTTACACAAAAAATAAGGATCCCAGGGCTCTGTTTTCTCTGTCCTCACTCTACCCAGTGTTCTGTTCTCTCTCTACCCTGTGTTCTGTCCTCTCTCTGTCCTGTGTTCTGTCCTCCATCTGCCCTATGTTCTGTCCTCTCTCTTTCCTGTGTTCTGTCTTCTCTCTACCCTGTGTTCTGTCCTCTTTCTATCCTGTGTTCTCTTTCCTCACTATACTTTTATGTTATTACTGTTCTGTGCCTCACATCTGTTTATATAAAGAGATGACAAGGCAGATGTTTAGTTTTTGCTTAGAAATGTTTATTAATTTTAAACTAGAAGGGATGTATTTTTATTTCAAAACAAATGTTTACTTTTTAAATTCCCTTTAAACATTCTTACAAGAAAGGCATTCCCATCCTCTCCCTAAAGTCCATCTTTCTGGTTGTGTAATCCAGATCATTCCTAGAGCAACAGCAATTCTACTGGGATATGTGAGAAACTCAGAGAGTGAATTCTAGAATGTTCCATCTGCAAATTAAGGGAATAATGAGCATGCCCTGAATTCTAGCTTCCATTATTTGGGGTTCCTTTCAGGGGTCTTAACTGTTTGAAATTCTTGGAGATGCTGGCATGTGGATTTAGCAGGCTGTGAAGTGATTCCTGGGGTCACTGAAACTGAAGGAGCAGACCATTAGTGTGGAGAATAGCACATGACCCTGGGGTAGACACTGATTGTGGGGGTCACAACTGCTCCACACCACTAATTTGAACTCTTCAGTTTCAGTTTTGTCATCTGAAAACTGAGAACAGTAAAAGCTCCTATTTTCAAAAATTGATATGAGGAATAAATATGTGTAAAATATTTCGCATAGTTGTGGCATAAAAGGAAGAGGTCTTAAGTAATATTGGTTCTAATTATTGTAGTGGTTGTAAATTAATGTCCTCAAAGTTGGGGCAACCAGGGATCATAAATTTTGTTTGGTAAAATAAATATATTTAGATTGAGTCTTTGTGTTGAAGAGTCCGTTATCCTACTATGATGTTCCTACAACCAGGGTTACTACTCAAGAACTGAGCAATTGTATTTGTAATCTGCAAGACATCAAACCAACTTTTTAAATTGTACTTTTAAAATACAACTTTCAAGATATTCTTGACATTGTAATAACACATTTCAAAGTTTTTTGTTACGTAACGTTCAACTTTATGCTGTTTCACTTCATGTTCCCTGATGGCATTTAATGGCATTATGTTCCAGATGGCACCAGAAGATTTATCAATAAATACATGTCTTCACTGAGTATTGAAGCTAAGGTTAGCGTTCATATTTAAATTTAGCATTATTCCTTAATCATAATTATCATATAAACTTGGAACTATTTGTCCATAAGAAATTAGTCATATTATGAACTATGCATCAACACCTATATTGAACAAAAGACTAAATTGACCACGTGAGAATTGACAGGGTCATGGAAAATTAGTTGTTTCAGCCTGTGAATTGAATTGCTCAGTACCCACTAAAGAAGATAATGATGCTCCATGGTGCTTTTGAATTCACTCTTAAACCTTTAGCATCTTCAGAGATTTATCCCCAAAGGAGAGCAAAATATAAAAGATAGGTATAGAACCACAATGAATTTGATTATTTTTACTGAAGGATGAGTGATTTTTCATTTCAGAAGGTAAGAATTTGACTTCGTTAATGAATCTGACTTACTATTTTTAATTTATAGTTTGTGAAAACTTTCCTCACTTATATGTTCTTACAGTCATAGTGCTGAAAAAGGTAGATCTCATCAAGCGGTCAGCTAATGAGCCATTTTGGCTGACTTGCTTTGTTTCTGCCATAGATTTCATGTGAGGAAACAGATAGAATCCAAATTGCTAGGATTTCTGTTTACCTATATTCAGGAGAGAAGCTCATATGTTCTTTCAGCATTATCTGCACTTGATATTCTGCAAAAATGCTGACTTTGAGTTGCTTTTGGCATTTGTTCATATATAAGTATTTAAACAGCGGATTTAAAAGTGTGACATTAAAAAATTGCAGGAAGCCTTACTTTGTTTAAGCATAAGAATACTTTAGAAGAAAAACAAAAAACCTCTGCATACTATATGAAGCTGTGTGTTATACTGAAAATACCTTATTTCATGCTGCAAAAGCCCAATTAGAAATTACTTTTACAGAAGGTATTGTTTTAAGTCTTTTGAGTCAATACATTCATTATATGCTTGGCATCATTAATGAGTTTTTAAAGTGTTTACATTGATATTCAAAGTCTTTGGTTAACAATACTTTCAGTTTCAAACACCAAAATAGAAAAAAATTTTACAGTGTATAAACTCATTGAAAACTTTTATTGAAAATCCTTGTCTGGTTATTGTATCAACAACAATTTTATAAAGGAATATGTCATATAGAATGGACATACATAATAAAAGATGTAACAACCTAGGTCACTATTTTCCACTTCAGATCTCAGACAACTTTAAAAACCAGTTTTTGACTCATTGTTTGTTTCAAACTCTGAGGGTTCTTATTTAACTTTATTATTACATCATTGTTAGAGCAATGGACAATTAGGCATCTTGGAGTCCATATTCTAAGACTTTACCACTTGCTATATAACAATTTAATAATCTGTTTCAAAATCATCAATAAAAATTTAAATTAAAATATTTTAGATGTTATAAATTCTTAAAAATATATTTCTTACAAATTACATATTTGTGTATCTATATAATTCTTAGTTGTATGTTTATCACTTAAAAACATAAATGTTAGCTATTATGTAAGAATTTAATAAAAAACATGTAAATATGTATTTTCCTAATATACTAAGCATTTAATTTTATTTTCATATGCCTTCTATTTTAAAAATATTTTTTATTTTTTTATGTGTAAGAGTGTATGGCCTGCATGTATATAAGTGCAACCATGTCATGCAATACCCACGGAGGTCAAAAGAGGGCACAAGGTTGTCTTCTACTTTTATTATGTGGCTTTAAAGCTACTTAAGGTGCACTTCAGGAAACAAAATATATAAGGAAAAAAGTATATCAGAAAAAGGGATATTTTATTTCAGGTGTTTCTGCTAAACTCAATTTTCAAATTACAGATAGACTCCTCTTTACAAGTAAATATCCACTGGTACTTGAATACCATTACATATAATGATATTTTAGATGTATTAATGTAAGTGAAACCACTCATTTATAAAATATACCATGTTATATTTTCATCATAGCTTTGTTCTGACAGCAGTCACACTATCCCATGGCCTTCCTTGGGGATGGGAACCACACTGCAGTGACAGAGTTCCTTTTACTTGGCTTAACAAACAACCTAGTCCTTCAAGTCATCCTCTTCATCGTCATCCTGTGTATCTACGTGGTGACCCTGTCTGGAAACCTCAGCACAATTCTTCTAATAAGAGCCTCTCCTCAGCTCCATTACCCCATGTACGTTTTTCTGAGCCATCTGGCTTCTACTGACATAGGTTATTCATCTTCTGTCACACCCAAAATGCTTGTTAACTTCCTGGTAGAGAGGAATGACATCTCCTACACTGGGTGTGGCATCCAGCTTGGTTCAGCTGTTTTCTTCGGGACAGTTGAGTGCTTCCTCCTGGCTGTTATGGCTTATGATCGCTTTGTGGCAATCTGCAACCCATTGCTTTATTCAAGCAAAATGTCCACAGAATTGTGTGAGCAGCTACTTGTAGGGTCTTATTTCGGTGGTTTTCTGAATGCTTCTTCCTATACCCTTTCCTTCTTTTCTTTTGACTTCTGTGGACCAAATAAAATCAATCATTTTTTCTGTGACTTTGCTCCATTAGTAAAACTGTCCTGTTCTGATGACAGCTTTGCCATATTTTTTGCCACATTTACTGCTGGCTCGGTCATTCTGTTCACAATGTTTGTCATAGCCATCTCTTACATCTACATCCTTATCACGATCCTGAAAATGCGCTCCACTGAGGGCCGCCAAAAGACCTTCTCCACCTGCACCTCCCACCTCACTGCAGTCACTCTGTTCTATGGCACCACCACATTCATTTATGTAATGCCCAAATCCAGCTACTCCACTGACCAGAACAAGGTGGTGTCTGTGTTCTATCTGATTGTGATCCCCATGTTGAACCCCCTCATCTACAGTCTGAGGAATAAAGAGATTATAGGTGCTCTGAAGAGACAGCTTGGAAAGAACATGTTTTCTTAAATACCTGCATTATATTGTAGGGACTGATATAGTTATTGTCATAGACATAATATTTAAAAGAATGTATCTTTGGTTGAATTAAATTTGGGGTATATTATTAATGAATAAGAATGATGTCAGTAAACATAAGGGTTCAAATTTCAGAGCATATAATGAATACAAGGTTCATTTTAAGGTACTTTTAATAGAGTCAAATTAAGATTTCAATGAAAGCATCATGAAATTATATTAAATATAAACTGTCAAAGTGCTTTTGAAGTTGTATTCATGTTTTTCCCCATTTCCACAATTAATCTTGTATATTATATCTTATAGGCCCCAAAGTTTCCTATGGTTTGTAGGTTTGTAAAAGTCTTGTTCCTTGTGGTGCTCTTAGGAAATGCTGGTAAATTTGACAGGTTGAGCCTAATGGGGATCTCTAGTTAATTGGCAGTGTGACATTAAAGGAGATGGGGGGGACTCAGCATATTCATCTTCTTTTCCATATTGATCATGATGTAAGTGGTTTTATTCCACAATCTGACCCTGCCACTATGTCCCACCAAAGACAACAACCAACATAACTCCTCAAGTAATGAAGTCTCCAAAACAGTGTGTCAAGAATATTGTATTTTCTTCATAAGTTATCTCAGCAAATTGTTAAAGAAATTAACAGTAACATAAAGCAGAACATGACCAGCTGTTCCAATACCAGCTTTTTCATAGCTAAGCTGGATAAATTCAGTTATCACAGTACATTATAGGGAAATGATTAGAAGTAACAAGAGAGTAAAACTGCTGCAAACATTCTTTTTATAGAAAGCTTATCCTTGAGAGATGCACCTGTTAGGCCCACGGACTTGTAATATGTGCTACTGGCCTCTGCTCCTGGTCTAAATTATTGCATCTAGAGAGAATAACATGGAGTCTATTTCTGATTAATCTGTGGATTGCTCTGTCAGTCCCAAAGGGAAATTAGTTCCTCTAAAAGAATGAGAATATTCCTGAGCTAAGGCCAAGGGAAGCAAACAAACAAACAAACAAAAAAAAACAGTTTCCCAGAAGAGAATGAAGCTTATAAATTCCACGGTGATGCTATGAAGAGGAAAATATTAGAAATGTTGTATTCTCAGACCCACAATCCAGTCTGCATGTTGGAACGCACCTGGCTGTCTCTGCCTTGAATCTGTGAGTATCTTCAGTAGAGAGTCAATCAGATTTCATATCCTGATGACTGCTACGTTTATTCCATTTCATTTCTCAACTTCAGTATTTCAGAAAACATTCCATCTTTTAATATAATTTAGAATTATATTTTATGATTCTTACATGTGATGTACTATTCAAGGCCAATGAGGTTACAAATGATAAAGTCAAAGATGAAATTTATCTTCTACTATAGGGCCTGGATAATAAAATTAAAATAAGTGATACAGATTTTGAGAAAGGATTGAGTACTATGGAGCTAAAAAAGGAAAAAATAAAAAGAGAGCTGAGTATGTAAGTCTCATATGCCAAGGGTAGAGAGTGGCCAGTGTAGTTCTCACTGACAGCCTACTATCCAAGCAGGGACTGTAGAATGTGGGGACATTTATGTTTAACTATGTACTGTTTAGAATTACTTGTGTGAATCTAATACACCACCATTGTGCATGGAATTTACCTTTAGTTTTGGTTATAACAATGGCAGCACTGATCAATGTAATCAATACCACGATTCCAAGATATAAAATAAGTAATAAAATGAAAAGTTTATTTTCAACATCAAATTATGGTTTAGAGGATAAGAATATTTTGAGCATCACCAAAACGTATGAGACCTATTAAAATCTGAAAAGAAATCTACATTATGAGCTAGTTATACCACTCTTTGGTGTATACCTAAAGGGCTCATCCTGCTCCTGAGATACTTGCACAGCTAGCTATGTTTATTGCTGGTATTTACACAATAGCTAAGAAATGGAAACATCTTAAATGTCCCCAAACCAATGAATGGATAATGAAAATATGGTACATTTACACAGTGGAGTTCTACTCAACAATGAACAAACTACATTATGAAATTTGCACATAAATTGGTGGAACTATAAACTGTTATGCTAAGTGATGTAATACAGACCCAGAACAACAAGCAAAGTACATTCTCTCTGATTTTCGAATCCTAGGTCTAAGTCCTTAGATGTGAGAACAAGGGCATAAAAGCCAAGCACTGCAGCTGATGCCTCTCTATAATCATCTGTTGATAGGTCTGTGTCTATAAAGTAGAATTTTCAAACAAAAACCTAGACATTTTGTCACAGATTGCACTACACATTTTTCTTGTAGAAAGGATCATCTTTCATTTGTGTCTTCATCATTGTGAGTCAGGAAATAGTGATGTAAGATTTGTTCAACTATGGGAACTCAAAACTAAATTCTGAAACAATAGACCATGATATTTGAAAGCTGGACAGAAGTCAGTTGTACATATTCAGTGAAATATGGTGAAAGACATTAGTATTTAAAAATCTTTAAAAAAAAACCCACAAAATGGAGAATAACTACAATTCCTTATCAGGTAACATAGCTTAATACTTTTCAATGAAAATTCTAAGCAAGGCTGAAAAAGTAGCATGGATAAATTAAATGGAGAAAAGTTTGGGGGGTTGGTGTAGGCCTATTCTGTTTTTAATTTCTCCTATTTTAATACTTTATTTCACATAAGTAAATACCTAAATGAAGAAAATCATTCTACCAAGATGGTTCAACAAGTGTAGCCACTTGTGGCCAAGTTCTCAGACTTCCACATTTATGCATCCATTTAAACGTGGATGAAAATATAAAATTGGGGGGGGCATATGCCAAAAAGCACTATGGCTGTATCATGTGGTACATCAATTTTGAGCTTTTAGAGGAACCTCTACACTTATTTCCATAGTGGCTTCATCACTTTGTACTCATATCAATAGTGAATGAGTACCCCTTGCCCCACATCCTCACCAACATTTGTTATTGTGTGTTTTTGTAATCTTTGCCATTCTGAGAGAAGTAAGATGAAACCTCAAAATGGTTTTATTCTGCATTTCACTTATGACTAGATAGTGAACATTTTTGAAATATTTCTCAGCTATTCATGCAATGTCCACAAAGGTCAGAAGATGGCATCAGGTCCCCCAGAACTGGAGTTATGGATGGTTGTTAGCTGTCATGTGGGTGCTGGGAACCAAACCCAGGTTCTCTGCAAGAACAGCCAATGCCCTAATTATTGAGTCATCTTTCCACCCCCACTTAATTTTTTAATTTGTTTGTTTGATGTTTAGTTATTATTAGTTCTTTGTATATTCTAGACACTAAACCTCTGTCAGAGGCATAACTGGTGGAGATTTTTTCCTGTTCTGTAGGGTGACTCTTCACTCAAATGATGGTATCCTTAGATGTACAGAAGCTTTTTAGTGTCATATTGTCCCACGTTTTAGTTATTATACTGAGGGCTTGTGCTATAGGAGTCCTCTTTAGATCGTCCTTTCCTTTGCCTATAAGTTCCAGTGTATTCCCTACTTTCTCCTCTATCAGATTAAAGGTATCAGGTCTTATGTTGAGGATTTTGATCAATTTATATTTGAGTTTTGCGTACCATGTGAGATATAAATCTAGTTTCATTCCTGTACTTGTCTTTATTGAGTTTGACCAGCACAATTTGTTGAACATGCTGCCATTTCTCCTTTGTCAAAAATCAGGTGGCTGTAATGTGTGGATTAAATCTGGGTACTCTGTTATATATTCCACTGGTCAATTTGTCTGTTTTTATGCCAGTACCATACTGTTTGATTACTACAGGTCTGCAGTATAATTTGAGGACAAGAAATATAATGGCTCCCACATTTCTTTTATTATTCAGGAATATATTGGATATCCTGTTTTTGTGTTCCCATATAATATTTGAGATTATTTTTTTCAATTTCTGTGAATAATTGTGTTGAAATTTTACTGGTTATTTTATTGCATTTGTAGAATTTTTTAGTAGAATGCCCCTTTTCACAATATTAGTCCTACTCATTATTCACAATCATGGGAGGTCTTTCCACCTTCTGGTATCTTCTTCAATTTCTTTCTTCAATGTATTAAAGTTATTATTGCACAAGTCCTGAACTTTCTTGGTTAAATTTATTCCAAAATAGCTTATGAATTTTGAGGCCATCATTGATAGAATTGTTTCCAGAATCTTTTTTTTAGTATGTTTGTTTTAGTCTATAGGACTGCTACTAATTTGGGGGTGTTAATTTTGCATCCTACTACTTTGCTGAATGTATTCAGCAGCTCTGGGAGTTTTGTGTCGGAGTGTTTAGGATTCTTCACATATAGAATCATATCACCTTCAGGTAAAATACTTTGAATTCTTCCTTTCTAATTTGATAATCCCATAATCTCTTTTGTTTAGGTTATTGCTTTAGCTAAGACTTCAAGTACTATATTGAAGAGGAATGGAGAGACTGGCCTTTCTTGTCCTGTTTCTGATGTTAAGTGGAATGCTTTCAGTTTTTCTCCATTTATCATGATGTTGGCTGTGGGCTTGTGGTATATTTACTTATGTTGAGGTATGTTCCCTGCATGCCTAGGTTCTCTATGACCTTTATCATAAGTGAATGTTGGATTTTGTCAAAGGCCTTTACTTATTCTAATGACATGGTCATGAGGATTCTGTCCTAGCATCTATTTATTGGTGGATTACATTTATAGTTTTATGTATCTCTATGATGAAGCTAATTGATCATGGTGAATGATCAGTGCCCCAAATGTCTTGCATATTTCCATTCCTGGCTTATTTTAGATGTTACATTTTCTTTTATTGAGTGATCCATTTCCTCAAGCTTGTCTACAGGATCTGATATTTATGTTAGATTTCCTCCACTTATCTTTGCTTATTTCCTCTAAGCTTTTTGATTGAATTCCTGCATTTTTTTATTTCAAGTTTTATTTGAGATTGGCATTTCTTCAAAGATTCTTTTATTGAATTCTATTTCATGTTTGTTTTGAATTGTTTT